CAGTGCGCATCATAGTGACCAGTCATTCTGCCGTTAGGGTCAATTTGCATATTACCCTTTTATTATATAGAATATTCCTCAATAAATTTGGAAGTTAAACATTTTTTTTCTATTTGTACAATGAATGTACAAAAAGTTATGTAGTATATTCATCAAAGCTTAATATCAAATATTATTTTTATCTTTCTCCTGGACAATGAAAAAGTTTACTTTCAACCCTCTTTACTTATATGGTACTAGAGGCCTGGTGCACAAAATTCATGCAGGGGGGGGGGCCTCAACTCAGCGTGCACCCTCTCACAATCTGGGACCCCTTGGGGGATGTCCAACTGCAGGATCAGGCCTAAAACAGCAGTTGAACATACCTTTCGCAATCTGGGACTGCTGGCTCCTAACTGCCTCATCACCCCTAACCACTCTGCCTGCCTGCCTGATCGCCCTTAACCCCTCTGCCTGCCTGCCTAAACACCCCTAACCCCTCTGCCTGACTGCCTGATAGCCCCTAACTGCTCGCCTGCCTGCCTGATAGCCCCTAACCACCTCTGCCTCTGCCCCTGCTGTCAGGAAGGATGTCCGGAATAACGTCTGGAAGGTCATTCAGCTGTTCGGTCTAATTAGCATATTACACTTTTATTATTATAGATTGTTTTGTGCATTTTAGTTCTATAAACATTCTGAGCTGCAGAAGACATTGTTATTGTTGTTTGATACAGTCAATATTTATTTATATTTAACCACACACTTACCATTTTAATTGCTTTTAATTGCTTCTCCAACCTTTCCATCTGTGGCATTTCCTTTGTTTTATGAAGATCTGTTAGTGTTTCCTTAAGTGAGTCTGTTTTTGTCATGTTTCCTTAGTTTTTGCTTGTCTGATAATGTCTTTATTTCACTTCAATTATTGAGGTATAAATTTGCTGAGTATATGATTCTAACAGCATTCACTTTTTTTTAACCAACGCATTAACACTATAATTTCAACCTCTTCTAGCTTTCATTATTGTTGAGAAGCCATTCACCCATCTTATTGTTGCTCTATTGAAGTTGATCTTTCTTTATATTTTTTTTCTTTAAGATTAATACTATTTTTTTCTTTTCTCCTGCAATGTCATTGTGATGAGTCTAAATGTTGATTGCTTTTTATTTATTCTGCTTGAGATCTGTTGAGCTCTTTAAGTGTGAGAATCAGTGTCTTTCACCAATTCTAAAAGCATTTATTCAAATTGTTTTTCTGCCATTCTTTTCTCACCTTGTGGAACTCTTCTCACTTTATATTATACTAGAGGCCCGGGGCACAATATTCGTGCACTTGGGGGGATGGTCCCTCAGCCTGGATTGTGAGAGGGTGCAGGCTAGGCCAAGGGACCCTACCAGTTCACGATCAGGGTTGGGGAGGGACACAAGAGGTTGACCAGCTAGGGAGGGGCCATGGGAGGGCTCCAGGGCATGTCTGGCCCATCTCACTCAGTCCTGATTGGCCAGACCCCAGCAGAAAGCTAACCTACTGGTTGTAGCATCTGCCCCTTGGTGGTCAGTGGACATGATAGCAACTGGTCAACCAGTCAACTGTCTGCCCCTTGGTGGTCAGTGCACATCATAGCAAGCGGTTGAGCAGCCTTAGCATATTATTAGCATATTATGCTTTGATTGGTTGAATGGAGGACTGGACAACAGAACACTTAGCATATTAGGCTTTTGTTATATAGGATGTTTATTATCTTCTTATTCTCACTTCTCTCTTTTATGTTCTTCTATTTTTTCGTCATTCATCAATGTTTCTTCTAACCAACCTCCAGTAATGCTCTCTTTAGATATATTTAATTTGCCTTTGAGTTCTTTGGTTTTCATGTTATGCTTTATTTCCAGATTTTCTAGTTGTTTTTTAAATCTTAAATGTCACTCTTTTTAGAGTGCATTTTTTTTGCTGAAATGTCTAATTTCAGCTTTCAATTTTTGTGTGCATACTATAAATATTGTTTAAAGTCTATTTCAGGTAATTAAAGTATCTTGAATGTCTCTGGGTTCATTTTTATTATCTTTAAGTGTGGTATATTTGGTTCATGTTGTCTTGTTTCTTCATCTGTCTACTTATTATTTATTCCAGCTTTTGGAATTGAAAAATTATTGAAATAAATACTTTGAAGCCTAAGATGATTTTTTTTCACCTATACCAAAAATTTGGAAACAAGAAGAACATGAAATCACTGTAATCCAATTTCCAGATTAAGATTTTTCTTGGTTATATAGGTGACTTGAATCAGGTCTAAATATTATGACAAGGGTGGTTTAATCCTGGAATCCTTATTTCTAGTGTATAGACATTTGGGATATAAAAAATAAGATCAAGTTGGTTGACCCTTGCCAGGCTCTATATTCCTATTATAATTTCCTCTGTTCATGAGATTGTGAAACAAGCTTCCTAACCTGTCAGTCACAACTTCAGATTCACAAATGCATCACTGAAAAAATGACCCAAAAGTTATAATAATTTTTCTGTCTTTTTATGGATCCCACACTCTTATTGGCTTCACATGCGTATAGTATTTTTTCCCATATTTTAGATATTTTTAGCATAGTCATTATTAGAAGCTAATGCCCCTAATATTCTAATGTTTTGTAGGTGATACAACATGTTTTTTAAAATTTATTTTTACTTTTGTAAAAATTTTAAATCAGTTTTTATTTTTTCAATTGCAATTGGCATACATTATTATATTAGTTTCAGGTGTACACCTCAGTGAGTAGACATTACATAACTTACTGAGTGATCATCCTATAAATCTTGCACTCATCTGACACTATACATAGTTATTAAAATATCATTGACTATATTCCCTATGCTGCTCTTTACATCCCCATGACTATTCTGTAATTACCAATTTATACTTCTTAATCCCTTCACCTTTTTCACTTATCCCCCCAAACACCTCTAATCTGGCAATCGTCAAAATGTTCTCTGTATCTATGTATCTTTCTGTTCTGCTTGCTTATTTTTCTAGATAAAATTATTGATAGTTATATATTTATTGCATTTTTATTGTTCATATTTTTCATATATTTTTTCTTTCTTTCTTTTTAAAAAAGAGCCTTTAGCATTTCATATGGTACTGGTTTGGTGGTGATGAACTCCTTTAGCTTTTTCTTGTCTTGGAAGCTCTTTATCTGTCCTTTGATTCCAAGTGATAGCTTTGATAGGTAGAGTAATTTGGTTGTAGGGCCTTGCTTTTCATCACTTTGAATATTTCTTGCCAATCCCTTCTGGCCTGCAAAATTTCTGCTGAAAAATCAGCTAGCAGTCTTATAGGAACGCCTTTCTAGGTAACTAAATAAGGAGTCACTGGAACAACTTCTAGCATACCAACATTCACATCATGGGAGTGCCACAGAAGGAAAAGATAGAGCAAGAAATTGAAAACCTATTTGAAAAAATAATGACAGAGAATTTCCCTTACATGGTGAAGGAAATAGACATACAAGTCCAGGAAGCACAGAAAGTCCAAAACAAGATTAACCCAAAGAAGCCCACACCAAGATACATCATAATTAAAATGTAAAAGGTTAAGGACAAAGAAAGAATCTTAAAAGGAGCAAGAGAAAAGCAGTTAGTTACCTAATATTCTAATTTGTAAGCATCATAAGAAATGGCATCTTTTTATTTTATTTATTTTATTTTTTTATTTTATTAATTTTTAAATATATTTTATTGATTTTTTACAGAGAGGAAGGGAGAGGGATAGAGAGTTAGAAACATCGATGAGAGAGAAACATTGATCAGCTGCCTCCTGCACACTCCCTACTGGGTATGTGCCCACAACCAAGGTACATGCCCTTGACCAGAATCGAACCTGGGACCCTTGAGTCTGCAGGCCAACTTTCTATCCATTGAGCCAAACCGGTTAAGGCAAGAAATGGCATCTTTTTAGCTGAGTTCTTTAGGGTAAAGGAGGTAAAATCTGTGAAACCTTGAATATGTAGATCAAACTATATATATAGATTCATATTTTTGTGGTATAAGTAAGTTCTACTTTTTTTTTTGTCCAAAAGTGTGTGTGTGTGTGTGTGTGTGTGTGTGTGTATGTGTGTTCACCTAGAATGGAATAATCTTAAATGTTAAATAAATTTATTTTATGGATAAACCCAGAGTCAAAATCTTTAGATGATATCAGAGAAGATTGTATAGTGGTCTTGATCTTGTAAACATTACCAGAATCTGTTATAGAAACATAACTTTAAAAAATTATTTAATGAGACACTAAATGTAATTTCCAACAGAAAGAGAAGAAAAAGAAAACAAGAGGATTGTAAAAGCCCCTATATTCCAATTAATTAAATTCTGTGTCTTGAATACTAGCATTCTTAAGGCATTCATGAATATCACAAATTACAAGCAATAAAATGATAATTTCTCTTCTTCAACCTTCCCCAAATCTTAAAAAAAAATAAAGAACTTTTTCTCTTTCTGTGTAATAAAATTCCAAGAAGATATTTGAAAATGGAGGACAAATATATTTTAGGTTGATCAACAGCATAAATTAATTCATGTTTACTTCATGAAGATTCTTATGCACTATTAATATTTCCACTGAAGAAGATATGAAAATAGAATTAAAATATTAAGATTAATATTCTGGGATAAATTTATATTTTATAACATTTAAATGCTATATTTTTAAAATTTAGATTTGTCACATATCTTTGTCATCTTTAAATCGCTTTAAACATCTAAAAATTTTGACTCTGTGTTGTAGAATCATTGGCATATTGATGCATAAAATAATTGAGCAGAATAAATGGAAAAATTTAATTTAATATTCATACACATTACATTTATTCTATTATTGTTAACCTAAATATCAGATAAATAGGTTAAGAATAATTATTAAACAACAATCCCGATTATACGCAATGTTACCGGTCGACGTCTGTCGTTGTTCACAGTACATAATCCGAAGGTATTGAGCATAGCCCTTGCAATTCTAATGGCCAGGAAAGTCATTTACCTATAGAAATTGCCCAAACGATAGCAATCTTCATGATGGCCTTAGTCCGCGAATTGAAACGGCTATGCTCAATAGGATTACGTATTGCTACATACCGATCCAGCGATATAGCGCAGAGGTGCATGATGGACGCTGTCGAAAATAAAACATCCAGGGAGATCCAGACGGGGCACAAAGGTCTAGGGAGTGGCCAGACATAATCTGAAAGAGAACAGAGAGAAGACAAGAACATATTATACAAATTATACTAACTGTAGTATTAAATTTTAGTCTACTTATTTTCTCTCATAATCTAAGCATTTCAAAGAAAGTGAAATTTGGGAAACATTTTCCATAGTAATGGTGGTAGTGAAGATGATGATGATAATACCTTAAGTGTTACATATATTATTTTTATTGAGGTAAAATTTACATAAAATCAATAAATTTGTACAATTCAATAGTATTTAGTACATTTATAATATGCAAGTATCACCTCTTTCTAGTTCCAAAACATTTCATTATTCCCGGTGGAAACCACTACCCATTAAGCAGTCACTCCCCATTCCACCTTCCCCTATCCTCTGACAATCTCTAATCTGCTATTTTGTCTCTATGGATTTAGCTAATTTGAACATTTCATATAAATTAAATAATAAAATAGGTGACCTTTTGTGTCTGGCTTATTTCACTTAGTATACTCTTTTGAGGGTTATTCATTTTGTAGCATGTACCAGTACTTCATTCCTTTTTATAGCTAATGTTCTTATTTGAGATAATTTTTGATGGTCTTATAAATGCAATTGTTTTCTTAATTAACTTATTAGTGTATCTATATATATAAAAGCCTATAGCTATGATGTGCACTGACCACCTGGGGGCAAACACTCAACACAGGAGCAGAAACCACAGGCATGGAAACATGGAACAGACTGATGAATCTCAGAGGAAAGGGGGGAAAGGGGGAGGGGAGAGGGCGGGAAGAAAGTAACGAAAGATCTTATATGCATGGATTGGTGCATCGATGGGGTCCCTCGGCCTGGCCTGTGCCCTCTTGCAATCTGGGACTCCTTGGGGGATATTGGACTGCCAATTCCAGCCCGATCCCTGCAGGCCAGGCCAAGGGACCCACTGCTGCCTGAATCCGTGCACCGGGCCTCTAGTAGAACTATAACTTACTAGAGTCCCAGTGCACAAAATTCATGCACTCAGGGGGGGTTCCCTTTGGGGTAGGGTCCCTAAGCCCAGCCTGTGCCCTCTCACAGTCCAGGAGCCCTTGGGGGATGTCCGACTAAGTCGTCAGTTGGACATCCTTAGCGTTGCCGTGGAGGTGGGAGAGGCTCCCGCCATGGCTGCTGTGCTTGCCAGCCATGAGTCAGGCTTCTAGCTGAGTGGTGCTACCCCTGTGGGAGTGCACTGACCACCAGGGGGCAGCTCCTGTGTTGAGCGTCTGCCCCCTGGTGGTCAGTGCATGTCATAGTGACCGGTCAGTCCACAGTTCGGTTGATTTGCATATTAGCCTTTTATTATATAGTATTAGTGTATAAAGCTATAACTGATTTTCACATGTTAATCTTGTATTCTGCAACTTTGCTGAATTCATTTATTAGATCTACATTTTTGTGCAAGAGTTCTATAGGATTTTCCCTATATAAGATCATGTCATCTTTGAATAGAGATAATTTTTTTTCCAATTTTCCCTGCCTTTTACTTTCTTGCTTGATTAATTGCTCTAGATAGAATTTCCAGTACAATGTTAAATGGGAGTAGGAAAAAAAAGCAGGCATCCTCTCTTTTCCATTGTTAAATTTATAATTATTATTATTATTTTTACTTGTAGGTCGTTTTTTTTGCAAGGTACCTATTATTTTATTTATTTATTTACTTTTAAATTTATCTTTATCATTGAAAGTGTTACAAATTTCCCTTTTTTCCCCATTGATCCCTTCCACTTAAAATAAATTATTGATTGATTTTAGAGAAACAGAGAGGAAGGGAGAGAGAGAGAGAGAGAGAGAGACTTATTGTTCCATCTATTTATGCATTCATATTTTTCCATCTATTTATGCATTCATTGGTTGCTTTCTGTATGTGTCCTGGCCAGGGATTGAACCTGTGGTGTATCAGGATGATGCTCCAACCAACTGAGCTACCTGGCCAGAGTCCTCTCCTTTTCTTGATCTCAAATGGAAATCTTTCATTCCTTTATGATTGAGTAATATGTTAGTTGTGGGTTTTTCATCAATCCCCTTTATTATGGTGAGAAAGTTTCCTTTGTATTATTAGGTTGTTGAGTACTTTTAGCATGAATGAGTGATATATTTGGTTAAATGCTTTTTCTGCATCAATTGAGATTATTGTGTTTTTAAAAATCTTTATTCTATTACTGTGATGCATTATCTTGATTTATTTTTGTATGTCAAACCATTCTTACATTCCTGAGATAAATCACCTGGTCATGGTATATATTATGATACTGGATTTAGTTGGCTAGTATTTTGTTTAAGATTTTTGCACCTATATTCATAAGTGATATTTGTTCATACTTGTCATTTTTTGTGATGTCATTATCTGGCTTTAGTTTCTGGATAATCCTGGTCTCACAAAATGAATTACAAAGTGTTGTCTTATCTTCTATTTTGTAGAAATTGGAGAAAAAATGGTGTTAATTATTCTTTAAAATGTTTGGTAGAATTTGCCAGTGAAGCCCTCATTTCTGGGCTTTCTTTGTTGGAAGGTTTCAATATCTTTATTATCAGTCTCATCAGATTCTCTATTTCTTCTTGAGTCACTTTTCATAGTTTATGTGTTTCTAGGATTTGTTGATTTTGTTCATGTTATCTGATTTATTGGAATACAATTATTCACTGTATTCTTTTTATATATTTTTTAAACTTCTCTAGGGTTAGTAATAATGCTCCCTATTTCATCTATAATTTAATGATTTGTGTCTTCTTTTTTTTTTCTTAGTCACTCTAGTTAAAGATTTATGAAGTTTGTTGACTTTTCAAATAAACTTTTGGTCTTCTTAATTATATTTTTATTTTTTCTATTCTCTATTTTCTCTCTCTCCATTTTAATATTTAGCATTTCCTTTCTTTTGCTAGTTTGAGTTGTTTGTTCTTTTCTAGTTTCTTGAAATCTAAATTTAGGCTACTTTCCTCTGAGCACTGTTTTTGCTACATTCTGTAAATTTTGGTATTAAGTTTTTATTTTGCTCTTCTCAAAATATTTTTTTATTTCGTTTGTAATTTCTTAGTTGATCCATTGATTGTTTAATAGTGTGGTGTTTAATTTTCACATATTTATGAATTTGTCAGTCTTCTTTATTGATTTCTACTTTAATTCCATTGTGGAGAAGATACTTTGAAGAATAATAATATTTTAAATTTTTAATTTTTTTTGAGGCCGGATATATGGTCTATTCCAGAGAATGTTGCATGTGCATTTGAGAAAAATGACTTGTCTGCAGTTGTTGAATGGGGTGTTTTATATTTGTCTGTTAGAATTAGTTGCTTTATAGTATTGTTTAAGTCCTCTATTTCATTATTGATCCTCTGTCTAGTTGTTCTATCCATTATCGAAAATAGGATATTGTCTCCAAGTATTATTATAGATCTTTCTTTTATCCCTTAAGTTTTGCTTCCTATAGTTTTTGGTCTCTGTTTTTAGGTGTATATATATATTTATAATTGTTATATCTTCTTGATGGTTTCAGCCTTTTATCAATATACTAGAGGCCCCATGCACAAAATTTGTGTACTTGGGGGAGGGGGGCGTCCCTCAGCCTGGCCTGTGCCCTCTTGCAGTCTGGGAACCCTCGGGGGATGACCACCTGCTGGCTTAGGCCCGCTCCCTGAGGGATTAGGCCTAAGTTGGCAATCAGACATCCCTCTGGCAGCCCGGGAGCCCTCGGGGGATATTCACTTGCCAGCGGGGAGTAAGCCTAAGCTGCAGTCAGACATCCTTAGCGCTGCTGAGGAGGCAGGAGAGGCTCCCACCACCACCGCTGTACTGGCAGGTGGCAACCGTCAGCCTGGCTTGTGGCTGAGCAGAGCTCCCCCTGTGGGAGTGTACAGACCACCAGGGGGCAGCTCCTGCATTGAGCGTCTGCCCCCTGGTGGTCAGTGTGTGTCATAGTGATCAGTCATTCCCAGTCATTTTGCTGTTAGGGTCAGTTTGCATATTACCCTTTTATTATATAGGATAATGTCTTTCTTTGTTTCTCATAGCAATTTTTGTCTTAAGTTCTATTTTGTTTGAACTATAACCACCCAGCTCATTCTGGTTACTATTTGCATGGAATATCTTTTCATTCTTTTACTTTCAACATATTTATAATTTTGGATCTAAAATGACTCTCTATTGACAGTATATAGAGGAAGAATTTTAAAAATTTATTCTGACATCATGTATTTTTACCCATTCTGTCAATCTCAGCCTTTTAACTGGAAAGTGTAATGCATTTACATTTAAAATCATTACAGTTAAGAAAGGACTTATTCTACCATTTCTTGTTTTCTATATGATACATAATACTTTCCTCATAAATTCCTTTCTTACTATCTTCATTTATGAAAAATTTATTTTTATAGTGTGCCTTTTAATTTTTTTCTTGTTTATTATTTTGTACATTATTTTGTTTTTTCCCGCTTGCACTACCAGACTGCTTTTTGAATAAAAAATCAGAATGAGATCTTGAAGTTACTAGAAGCAGTCTGGGAGCCCAAGGAAGTAGCAGTCATCCATTGTAGAGGACATTAAAAAGGAAAAGACTCAGTGTCAGAAGGGAACAGTCACGCAGATGCAGCAGCAAGACTAGCTGCTAAGGAGCGGACAGTCGCTTCGTGGACCATGCTGGTTCCTGAATTACCTGAACGTCTGAAATACACCCCTCAAGAAGAAGAACGGGGCCAACAAGAAGGGGGTAAAAGGACGAAGGAAGGTTGGTGGATATTCCCAGATCATAGGGTCTACATTCCAGAACAGTTATCTCATAGAGCAGTCCTCCAGCAGCATGAACTTACCCATTTAGGGAAGACGGCTCTAGAAGCCTTGTTAAGCAGATACTATCTAATTGCCCATCTCCCCTCCTTATGTGCTTCAATCTCTCAGCGCTGCCTCCTCAGTACACAGAACAATGCAAGGCATGGTCCTGTAGGACCGATAGCAATTCAGAGTTGTGGGCAGGCTCCTTTTGAATATCTAGAGATAGACTTTAC